GCGCCCGGCCTATAGTTTGCATTTAGATGAAAGCAAACCTTTTGTTATTATTTTCGTAAACTTTCCTAACTTGCCTTAAATATCTCTTGGCACCCAAAGCAAGTATACATATATATGTATAAATGCATGCTGTATAGTTTTGACAAGTTACTTAAGATCTCCATTCATTAATATTGGCATTGTATCTTAGTTTGTTTTATGAAGATGTTGAGGTTTAATGAAATATGTGTCACACATTCCTTTTGGCTTCTTTATACTTTAAACTTCTGTAGTTTAAAGAAAATCAGGAAATTCAGAGTATTTAAAATATGCTCAATAATTATCATAATCTTTCTGCATTTGAAGGTAGCAAGCTTTTCTGTATTCTTAGATGGAAAAATCAAAATACAAAGAGGAATGAGTTATGTAACCCAGGACAAGGTAATTAAATCATGTGAGATACTGAAAAACAAAACAAAACAAAGCCCCTAAGCTCTGCGACTGAACTCCCTTAATGCAATTGTGCACAATGAAAATTTTTGGCAGGTTTTTCTTGGCTAACCCCTCTTTAACTGAAAAGAATGTTTTGTTCCAACGACTAGAAGCTAATGAACTTAATTCATTTCAATAAGCCAGGACTCAAAGTGGGTACATTTTTAGTAAATTTTTTCAGTGTTCATGGGCATGTTCTAATAGACCTTATAGGGCAGCGTTGAGCTTGATTTGAAATCCTGGTGCCTAAAGCTGATAACAGACGTAGGTGAAGTAAGAAACTGGACTGCTGGGGCATCTCGCACAGGGGAACTTGAGGTCATGACATGTGTGGTTGGCCCAAGCTCACACGGAGACTGGTGCAGAACTGACCCTGGAGGCCTGATGCCTGCTTCTTCACCCTCAGCTCTCTGGCTTTCCTTATTTCACGATCTGAACAATTGTCTATGGAGAGAGTTCCCTTATGTTTCCCTTTGCCCCTGCCAGCACTGCTTCTTCCTCTCCCAGCTGCCCAAAAGGTCAGAAACCAAGAACAGTATTTCCCGTGTGAGTGCAGGTTCTCAGCCCCGCAGAGAATGCCCTGGGACCCAGAACATGAAGCACTAGACTCAGACCCAGCCCAAAGGACTGTACTTCATCCCCTCTGAAGATGCCAGTCTGGGATTTCAGAGACACATACTTCTGTGACTCAGATGAACCCTTTAGAAGGCAGCTGTTCTCAAGCATTTTTAAAGCCGTGAGCTCCTTTTTACAGAGGCTGAGCAGGTATGGTCAGTATGTAAGCTGTCACTGTCAATATGCTTCTCCTGAGTGTCATTCTCCCAGGCTGAGCCTACGCTGGGCCCCTGGAATTCAGTCAGGCCTAGCTTTCTTAGGTTTCCCTGGGCAGCCTGAAGGGCAGTTAGCTTGTAAGAGAGGTGGAGGAGAATTGTGGGAACAAACTCACCTCCAGGGAAGAGAAAGTCAGGTGACCAGCTTGACCTGATGACAGCTTTGGTTGTATGAAGAGGGATTCTAACAGGCAAGCTACCTTGGGCAGGCTGAGGCCCGGGTCCGAGGATCTCAGCGTTTGTGAGATGCTGGGCTATTTCCATTTTTCTACACTTTCTTTTCTGAGACGGGGTGGGGGGGGGTCTCACTCTTGCTCAGGCTGGTCTCAAACTCCTGAGCTCAAGTTATCCTCCCACCTCGGCCTCCCAGAGTGCTAGGATTACAGGCATAAGCCACCACGCCCAGCCCACACTTTCTATATGTTAAAAAATCAAGTATTGAAACCTGTGACACTTGAACTTTAAAATCACATGTATTTAACAAATCAGTGGTCGATAGCAACAACAAGTTGTGTGTATTATGATAGGTGTGACAGGATTTGTAGACATGTTAATTTATGAAGGACTATGGGCTGTTTTGTCTGGTCACAAGATTTAAAGGTAAACATCTCCCCTTTCAGTCCAGTCAGTGTATCACTGTGGCTGTACATTTAACCTCACTTGGAAATCACATCAAGAGTCTAAATTTGAGGCTTCCATGACTGTGCGCCTTGGGCAAATGGCTCCTCTGGGATATCCAGAGAAGCAAGAAGGCTCTAAACAAACATGGTGGGACCTGTTTCACTGCAAACTCCGGGTGGTGTTTGTCACACGCAGCAGTGCTCTTGTTCCTCACTAAGGACATGTTACGCAGAGAGGGCAGGGAGGTTGCCACTTGCCACAGACCCCTCCCTGGGTGCTGCAGCAGCCGCAGACACACACTGCTGGGAGGCTGCCATGCCAAGTCCTGGCAGACACGGACAAAGCCAGCCCTAGAGCAGCCAGCCAAGTGGTGGGGCGCACCTGGGTAGGCTGAGATTAGCTGGCGTCCACCAGCATGCCTGAACCGGTTTTTACAGCCATTCTGATAGGTTGGTGCCTCTGTCCCAGTTAAATATTTTCGACATCGCCAGGTTGCCAGCAGTTATGAGACAGCTGCAATCCCAGGAACATGCCTGGTCGTAGCTGATAGGACCCTCACGGGAGCCCACAAGGTATATAGTATATATATACCTTACTAAAAGGATTTGTTCTGTAAAATTTGGATTCAGTCAAAAGGCCGCACTCAAGGATCCAGAAGGCCACATGTGGCCCCAAGGCCACAGATTCCCCACCCCTGGTATATACCTTGTGAATTCTCAAAGGGTTACTTTTTAGTGGTCTAGATCTTATACTAGCTGGTAGAAACAGAACTCAAAATACAATGAATCTACACTAGAGCAGCCTAAGGAAACTCAGTTTTGCATGTGTGTATAAAAGATGAATCAGCCAATTTTAAAACACAAGTTTTAATTGCTGGATGTGTGTGGGATTTTATTTTTCATTCAAGAATAGTTCATTTTTGAATCATAGTTTCTCCTAGGTAGCATTTTCTCAAGGAAGAACTCAAGGACTATTTAGCCTTGGGGTTAAAAAAGTTCTGAGAGGTCCCAAAGGCCTTCCATTAGTG